AAGCTTTAAGGGGCTTTGTTTAATCAATAGTGAAACTGGTACAATAGGTCTCTTCTGGCCGCAGTACCGGCTGTTGGGAAATTTTCACGTATACTCTTTATTAATTAAGTAGGCAATTGAGAAATGAAGCCCACTCTCGACAAATAAAAAATACAAATCTTTTATCATGCCTGTCCTGCTGTGTGATGCAGAAGCTTGGACAATTACCAACAGTGACGAGAAGGCATTAGGAGCATTCGAGAGAAAAATTCTGTGGAAGATCTATTATCCCTTACATGTTGGTGACGAGTTCTTTTTTTCGTCCTTTTCGCCATTAAAAAATGCAAATGCTGCCAAAGTTCAACAAAACAAATTTTAGTTTTATATTGTTCCCTCAACAGCTGTGTCCCAAGCAATTCAGAATGTGAAAATGCATTTTGCAATTCTAGGTAGAAGTGGATTTTGGAAGAAACTTGTTCTATAAGAATGTTTAGAGTAGGTGGTGAATGACTACATTAACCAAAATCCGATTTTAAATAGTTATTAACTAATTTAATTTTACCAAAAACCATTATAAAACTTTTCAACTTTTGGATCAAAAAATTATTTTAAATTAGTACATATACATTATTTACAGGAATACAAATATTTTTAATTAGAAATTGCACGTAGAATTTAAATCTGGTATTAACTTGAGAAATTCGAAGAGAAACATGTGTATATCTAAAAAGTCTAAGTTTATTTTCAGTCTTCCGAATTTTGAAGGTTCTCGTTACTTTAAATTAAAATACTAATGCCAGCCTTCGATTTTTCTGATATCTCACTGGCTATTCCCCCATAAACAAAGCTAAGCTGTAAAAAAAGAACCAATTAATAAGTTAAACTAAAACATAAACTTTGCCATTAGCTACGATTCCCGCAACATCTATTATATTAGCGGTCATTTCTTCCTTTAAAGTTGTAAAAAAACAGCAATAAGACGGGTTGCGCCAAATTGGCATCACTTTTAAAATATTTCAAATGCTTGTTTTTGACATATGTATGTTTTTTTGTTGTGTTGTGTATATGAAATAAAAAAATTGTAAACACTAAAAATTAATTAACACATAAAACACACAAATATACTTATTTATGTATATGTATTTATTAGTAAATGAAACGATCAAATGATTTTAATGGATGATAGGATGATATACCATAATTCCAGTATTTCCAATAGATTGATTTTTGAATTTAACTACACTGAAACATAAGTTGGAACATTTTAAGAGCATTGCTATTGCTCTATATGTGTTCTTTCTTAAGTTCTGAGTATTTTTTTTTGTTGCTACTCTGAAAGAAAAAATGACGATACATGGATGGTGAATGCATCCAAGAATCTGTTTATATTAATGACGATATCTCAAGTAATCGGTTGAAATGTTAAATATAATAATATGCTTACTTATCTTTAGACTAACTATAGATAGAACTATAGATAGATAGAACTATAATTTTGAATTTTGAAAAATTTTTTCATTCTAGTCCAATAAAAATATATATAATTTTTTTTCGTTTTCGGTTTAGTTCAGCGTGAACATTTTCATCTATTTACATTATAAATTAGCTTCTTTATTATGACAAATTAATTTATTCGTTTTCATTTTAAAAAAGCAAAGTCAACATAATGCACCGACTATATGATGTTGAAATAAGCTCGAAATAAAAAAGCAAGCTCTGGTTTTCATTCCGGTAATAATATGCTTTCAGGTTTGATTTATAAGTTAATAATAAGTTAATAATAAGTTCTAAATGTATAACTAAGTAAATCAATCAAATTGATTAAATATGGTATTTGTGATTATTATTTTTTTAAAAGTTCTTAAACAACTTTTCATAAGTTTTTTTATGTCTTATTAAGTTATATACGTTTTCATAACAAAATTTTTTTAATACATTATATTAAGAAAACCAACGTAAAAATCAAAACTACTAAAAATATCTAAATTCTCCTTTTTTGCCCAAATGTTTATTATGATTCCAGCTTGTATTATTTGAAACATCTTCACTTTCGTTCTGCAAAATAAAATCATATATTATAGAAATTAACTAAATAAAATTGGTTTTGTTACTTCTAAGGTGTCGCTAAAAGGGGATTTGGTCACTATTTGCTGATTACCGACTTCGACTTCACCATAGTTGTAGGGTGTCACAATAGTATGAGGTACATGTGCAATTTGACCGTGTATATTTCGCGCTTTCCACCACTTTCTAGTATCATCAAGTATCTATAATGTAGAATTAGTGCAATTTGAAATAAACACATTGAAGTTAAAAAATCTTACAACGGCTGTAGTCAAGAGTGGGCAGGAATGTCAGTCTGTTCTTGGACCTTAGAAATTATGACCGAAAAAATAACTCATGAGATAATAGATTTCCCTAAATATGACTGATCCATGATTGATTATATATTGTTTCTTGACATTCACTTTACCGTTTTATGACTACGCCGATTGAATAAACCATTTTGTATTAATGTTTACTTACCTCTAAATACTCACCACGAACAACACTTAATTCTTTGTCATTGTTCGCTGTACGGGGATAAGTTACTAGAACTATTTTAGCACGTGATAATTGTAAATCTTCAAGCCATATTCCTAGTTGTTGGTCATATACATCATTAGTATTAGCTGCTTCAGTATGAGCCGAAATTATATTTTGTTTTGAAATTCCTTTAATAACAGAGCTTCCAGCATTAAAATTGTTTTCTTTAGTTTTTTGATCACGTACATTTATATTTTGTAAATCTCCAGTAATTGTTTGAACTGAGGAAATTTTGCCATGATTCTCAGTGCGTTTAACAATATCTGCGGGACTATCATTTTTTGTATTATAATTCAAGCTGCCTAAAGTTGTTATATGATCGACGTTATCTGATTTATTTACTTTAAATAAATTATAAAAATTGTTTGTGTTATTGCCAACGCGATTATCATAAGTTACACCAGTAACTAAGTTATTGCTATGACCATTACTAGACATACTATCAGCACCAATTACTGGTACATTAATGTTATGCTTTATTATAGATGGTGCTGTACCAGGTTCCAACTCATCAATAACTAGGTAATCAGGTGACCATCCATCAAGGAAAACAGGATGATAAGAACTAATATTTTCCTTCCATTGGTCACGAGGAATACTCCAAGAGTCGCCTAAAGAACGCCATAATTCAGTTTCTTTACTAGTTACACAGTTTATAAGCAAATTAACAGCTTCACGAGTAAGTAACGGATTAATTACTCGCCCAGCTAACTGAGAATCATAAGTATCACTTGATGCTTCCACAATTAAGGCTAATGGTGTAAAAAGAAAGTGAACCAATTCCGGTGCATTTGGATCATGTATGTGCGATTTAAGTTTAGCTAATAAGTTAAATGAAAGTTTAAACTTTGCAAATATGTCAATAAATTCCTTCTCATGTGGAGGGCGTGTACGAAGAGTTAAAAGCCCTTCACCTGGATCCTTTTTTTTAGTTTTCCTATTTCGTCGACGACGTTCTAGTTCACGAGATGCAGCTGCAGCATGTTGTAATCGTGCAATGAATTTTTCTATATCGTCAAAACAATGATTGAGTACTGTTACATCCCTTTCATACTTATCGCTTGCTATAGAACTGTTTTCTTCGTTAAAAAAACCACCTTGATCAGAATCTGTGTCGCCGCTTGCTACGATTCCCACATCTTCTGTAATAATATTATTTTCATAATGATCTTCGTTATGACGAGACATGGAATGGTGACTGATATCTCGAGAATCTGCTTGTTCAGATGACGATATTATTTTATTCATATCAAACAAGTCGATTTGTTTCTGCTGAGATTGATTAGTTGTAACTCGTTGTTGTGGAATCAATTGACCATTTCGAAGATTTTGTAAGTCCTCAACAAGATGAACAGCAGATATGCTTTGTGACTTGAAAATTGAGTAAATTGCAACTTCTCAATAAAAAATGCAAACAATGGTTTTAAATATATACATTTTTTTAAAATGATACATTAACAGGGCAATTCTGGCAAACATAGTTGTCTTACGAAAGATGCTTAAAAGATACAACGAGAGTCAGTTTCAAAGAATTTTGTTATTCTAGCACAAAAGTCTTTCAGAAAAAATTTTATCATTTGTAATTCGAGGTAAAAAGCTGTTTTGTGATATTGCTTTCGTGAGGAAATAGTTAAAGGGTGTTAATTGCTAAAGCCGCAAGATATGCAGGGTTAGGCGATTGAAGTGTTACCAACTACTAACAGGTATATCTATCAAACCTATATTGCCAACTACGCGAAATTCAAACGAAAGGCAGCTGTTTATATTGTTTACAAGCCGCCACAAGCATTTGCGTTTAAGTTTTATAGAAGAAAAGTTATTCGAGATAGAATTCAAACGTAATAATATGATTGCGTGGTATTTGGCTGTAAAATCACAATCAGCTATTGTTCGTGAGCACAAACACCTCAAAGTGAATAAAATGTTTGTGTATTTTACTGCAAATCGTTATAATTGCTCTGGCAGCGTCGACAAACGTAATGATGGTAGAAGAAAAAAAACGATAACATCTCCTGAAAGGATTCGAAAAGTGAAGTCTCGCCCTAAACGCAATCCACGTCGTAGTGGTAATCAAATAGCCAAAGAACTGAAAATACCCCAGCGAACTATCTGACGCATTTTCCAAAAAAGATCGTAAATCTTACACCAAAGCAATAAAAAGTTAAAAAGAATTTCTAAATATTGTGTGCTCTGATGAGAAAAATTTCCCCATTAAGCAGTTCATAAACTCTTAAAATGATAGTGCTTACTTAACTGAACGCACTGCCGAAAATTTTGGACTAAAAATTGCCACCTGAAATAATTTTCCATCTCAATTAATGGTATGGGCAGCTGTGACCGTACCAGATGTAATTTGTATCAATAAAAAATAATTTCACATAAAAAAGACATGGTCGTATGAATAGATAACACTTTAATCGCCTAACCCTGTATGTTTAATTATTATTATAATTTGTACATAAATTATTTACTGGATTTTACATGAGTAAATAAAAAAAAGGTAGCAGCTATTGCTGCATTAAGCACATCAGTGGCAAAAAATTAATTAGTTTTAAAATTACAGCTAATATATATATAAATAAATAAATAGATAAATGTTCAGGTTAATAAATATTAACATTTAAATATATAAAAAATATATATATCATAGATAAATAAAATATGTATTTTAAAATTCTTATACTTTGACGTCATATTAAAATGAGGTTAGTAATAATTGTTAGGTTAGTAATATTTAATTAACTAACTAATAATTTTTATTTTAAGTTTTATATATTTTATTTTATATACAAAAAATTGTATGCACCACAAAAAAAAACAAAATCTTAGCTGAAAATCAAAAATGTCTTTTGAAAGACAGATAAGAGTTTTTAAGACAGCTGCCAGAATAGGAAACATTTTTCAAAAGACTTTTGACTGTGGTGAGTTGCCAAATTACCCTGTAGGACTATCCATGATCTGTGTTAAAATATATTTCATATGTTTTGTTAAAATATATGTGGAAATATATTTGGATTTTTAAACTCGATTAAATATTTTAACAAAGTAAACATTTAGAGACAAAAACATAAAACTGCACAGTAATAGTAAAATTTTCTCAAATCGTAAGAAATATATTAACAATTTATTTAACAATACACTGTAATAAAATTATAAAAATTTGAAATATGATTTTAAAATAACATTTAAAAAAGGAATTTAACAAATCGACTATGACAATTATTGAATATGAATTGGACAATTTAAAATGAGATTAAAATAATTAGCACAGATCATGACAGACATTATTGCGCATAAGTACCTGAAATATATGCATTTCTGATCGCGAACCACTCCCTCCAGATACTATAAAAACTAAAATGTTATTGTATAACTCCATTGCATCAGTTGATGTAAATGCAGTTGGTTCCTGTATTAAAGTTGCTGGAAAACGCTCAATGATATTCTTAGAAAAGACAAGTTATTTAAAATTAATAATCTTCATATAGATATATAAACATTTTATTTATTTAATCATTTCAAATAAGAGTGATCTTAATATAGTCTACTAATAAACATTTCTATCAAAATAAATTTAGTAAAAATGAATTTATTTACCTTTTCCCACTTTTGAGGTAAGTGGTTTCTTGGGTATGAAAACCTCTATTCTGTACTTCTAATTTGCTATCTTATGTTAAAAACAGCAATTTAGAAACATTAAAACATGTTTTAATGTTTAAAAAAGTGAAATTTGATATGCTAAATATTACATTACGTTTAATTAAAATTGTATGTGTCATTTTTTTACAGGCGGAACATTTTTGACCTCATCAACTCCGATTTGGCTATAATTTCTATGATATTGATGTAATGAAAATACCCGTATCCTGGGAAAAAATTTCAACTTTTTTCATAGGGTAGGACGGAGTAAGATAAAACTATAAAAATTTTTTTTCTAAAGTAAAACCCAGAAAAATTTTTAATTCGTATTTTAAATAAATTTTTAAATAGCTTATTTCACGTTCTGTGAGAGAGACCTGCAATTTATTGCATTGTAGAGATAACGATCAATTCGTGTTATGTAAATAAAATAAAAAATTGAGGTTATTTATACTAAAATTAACCGTAAATTTGAAAAAAAATTCTCGAAGTTCACATCAAAAGTTTAATTACTTTATTTTTAATTTAGATTTATAATGAATTTTTATTTATAAACTGGCATTTTCCCGATTGTATTATTTTTAGAAGTATTTTAAAAATTATAAGTAATGCTGTCAAATATAACATTGAAAAAAATGTGACAAAAGTACTAATATTTTATTCCTGATTTTTATAAGAAAAATTTAATTTAATATGTCCTTTACACATTTCGTATACATACTAAATTTCAACTGAATTAAATCTATAAAATTATATCACTAAAATTATTAATTTATTTCTAGTAGAACTAGAAATACTTAATTAATTATTCATTAATTAAATTAAGCGTTACACATTATTAGAAGCTACCTAATAAGGTCACGGTTTTTCAGGTTGAAATCCCAGCAATTAGAGAAGCTTGTCGGCAAATTGCATGTCACATCAAGCAGTGGCGGAGCTAGACCAACTCTGCACGTCGGCGACACAGAATTGCGAGGCCCCCTTTATAACCCAGTTGTAAACTTTCAAGTTACATTGTTGAAAGTTTTATTGCTAATCAAATTAAAATAAATGAATTTTCCTACTTTTAGCCTCACTCAATTTTTTTTTAAATTATATATAATTTGTGCCAGCTGCTATTTTTGCGTCAGTTTATAGAATTTTCAATGGAGATAGTCTCTCTTGGATCTTCATACTTTTCTAGTACGTCTTAATCACGTCTTTTAACTTTGAGTAGCTTCTTTCCGTCGAAGCTATACTGATTGGAACTGTGAACGTGAATCTGGTTACTATATAAACATTCGGGAATACTTCAAATATGGTTAATGCCACTATCAAACCACATTGTTCAAAATATTTATTAAATGCTTAGAATCCACAGTCGGTAACTTTTTGCGAGGCCCCTGCGGGCGCGAGGCCGTCGGCGGTCGCCGACATCGCTGACGCCTAGCGACGCCACTGACATCAAGGACAGATGTAGTGTGGCCGTCTTTATTAACAGCCAGGCAGCAATGAAAGCCCTTGAATATTTCACAACAAAATCGAAGATAGTAAGAGCATGTAGAGAAATAATCGACGAGCTTAATCGGTTGGCTGACATCACCTTCATTTGGGTTCCTGGATATAAGAACATCGAAGGGAGTGAAAAAGCTGACAGCTTAGCCCGTTCTTTTGTTTTCCTGCTAAATACTTGGGCATGACACTTGATGCTAGACTTCGGTGGTGTGAACACGTCAAAAAAAAAAACGTTAAGATGTAAATCTTAAATTCAACTCAATTAAGTGGCTACTTGGACGTCATACCGTTATGTCAATCTCAACTCAACTCTGGAGTTGCACATCTGAGTCAAATAGGCAGATAATACAACGATATCAAAACATCGTGAAAACAATTACCAATGCTCTATGGTATGTCCGTAACAGTGACGCTCATCGTGACTTGCTTGTTCCGATAGTAGCTGAAATAATCACGCTTCAGACCGAAGCACATAAAAAAGGACTTTAAGTTCACTGCAACACAGAAGCTTCGTCACTCCTTCAAACAGAAGACCTCGTACAATGGCTTAAGAGAACCAAACCGTCTGATTTTATTAATTAAATTAAGTATTAATCATTATACTATAATAATTTAGATAAGGATTAATATCGACAATTTTAAGTCCTCGATATAAAAACATCGCTAATTAGTTTTTTATTTGTAACTCGGCGCAATTGAATAAATAATAATAAATAAAAATTAGTTTTAAAAAATGGTTTTCAAAAATATACTCTATGTTTAACTTAAATGAAATGGAAAACTTGCAGCTCTTTCTGGGGTCGTGTCCGACGTAAAAGAAAAAAATAATTCAAATTTTAATTCTAATTTGTCAAACGTTAATCTATACTTTTTTTTTAATTCAGTTTTTTAACTTTTGTTTTTTTTTATATGTATCATTATATAATTATATATTATATGTATCATATATAATTTAAATCACTTAAAATATAGCTACATTGCCGTGTATGATTTCTTAAAGAAATCAAACTAATGCTTTGATATTACCTAAAGAAAAGATTATGTTGCATTTAGTGGATGCTTAATTCTGCTTAATGGCTGGACATATCAATTTTTAAACGGAAAATACTAGATGTAATTGTAAGATTTTTAGCAAAGGAGTTTATGTATTGTCTTTTATTTTTTTTTTTAATATTGTTAAACTCATTAATATAGGGGATTTTGTTGATCTCGGTACATATTTTCATTTTTAATGTTGCATGAAGCGTCAATGATTATTCTCAGTATTTTTGGAGGTCTTTGGAAAATTATACCATTTGAAACACTAGCGTTACCAAATAAGAAAATAGTTTACTCCAGAGTACCGTGAAACTAGACATTCCTAAAACATTTAGCTTTTACCAAGACAATGACCCAATACATAAAGTCGGCATTGTACAGTCTTGGTTGATTTGGAAGTGCCCACATCTAAACTGCCCCAGACATGAATTTCATTGAAAATTTATGGGCAAAATTGAAACAAAACATTCGAAAATTTACAATTTTAACAAAGAAGTCTTAAAAAAGGCTATTTTACAAGAGTGGATGAAAAGTGCTCCAGAAACAACCCAAAAACTTGTTGGTTCAATGCCGAAAAGACTTGACGAAGTGATAAAAGCGAAAGGGTATCATACCAAGTATTGACTTTGACACGAAATTAAATTTCTTTTTGTGGATGAAATAAGCTGAGCCATTAAAATAGGAGTATTTTTATAGTTTACTAGCTGACCCGGCGAACGTTGTTTCTCGTTGCAATTAATTTTCCTGGCTCAGCTGAGTTATAATATTTGTTGTTATTCAACTTAACCTTTAGCATTTTAATGCGAAAATTATTTTGAATTGATTTTTTCTTTTGATCTGCAAAAAGTCCACATGCATTACTTATGTTACAAATATTTTCATGTTACTTCAAATCCTTATAAGCACTACATTTTAAATGAAAAAAGGTTGTTGTTTATCACTTCATAAGCAATTATTGACCTCAGATCTGCATACCTCTCCGAGGAGCCTGGAACTATTCAGAGATTTGATAACGCGGTGTTGGTAAGTGTGTCAGATTTCGCAAATAATTTCACCGCAGCATGATTATAGGTGAGCCAATTTTTAATCTTAAGTTATATGGTAGCATTCCTGGTTTGTATAGTTGTCGTTTAGCAGTCTCTTTGAAACGGTATTGAACAACTGGACCAACTGGTTGTGATTTTGTAAAAACGGTTCTAAAATACCTACAATTTCTTGCTCCTCCATCTGCTCGATATGGTTGTACTGGCAACGTGCGTTTATTTGCTGCTTCTCATCACCCATGAAGTAGATTTGCAGAAATTTTGGATCGTTATTGGGCATCGGCATTAAAGAACCAATTTGGTGATGCACTTGGCCCCGAATCTTATACGTTGATTGAAAATTGCGACCATTCTCATTCTGAACGATTTTTGTTGTTCCAAATGATGTCACTTGAAAGCACGAATTGAATTTGCGAATTTTACGAAAAAACAATTTAGATTGAGATGTAGGTCCAGCCAATAGTGCTTTCAATGGTTCTGGCGGCGAATTCAATGGTTGCAATACAACTTTTCCAGATGCGCCGCAGAAATCGGCCGATTCACCTTTGTATTTGAGTGCATGACAGTGTTGGCACTGTTTGTTCATAGCACCGATTACAATTCGTGAATGTGACGAATAGTCGATATCCGATTCATATTTAAACGCAAGGCGATGAAATGATGCACGTGTCAATGCCCGATACACTTGCAAACGCCGTTGTTCACGTGTTCTGAATGTGTCGGTGACTCGTTGACGGGCCAGTCTTTGTCTCAATACATTAGCTCGAAGGCGTTCGTTGCGTTGCTCTTGACTTTCATTAGCACGTGTGATTGTATCCTGGTTTCTTACATTTTCATTGTTTTCTACCGATCTATTTAACCGACGGTTCTGGAGTAATTGTGAATTCCGAATCCGTCGACCAATATTTCTTCCTCGTCCACGAAGACGTGGCATTGCTTTTTGTACGTTATTTATATCTTTATATATATAATTCTTCTTTTTTGTGTGTGTTCAAGTCAATTCAAGGATGGTTTAGATTCACAATTTGGTCCACTGGATAACGTTTTTTTAATTATTATACAGTTTTTTGGTATCCATATACATTTATATTAGAAATTTAAAAGTTATTCATGCTTACTTTGATTTGTTTAAATAGTTTAAACTCTGTTTTACGATTCATTTTAGAGATTTTAAACTTTTGAAACAAATCAAAGTAAGCATGAATAAATTTTAAATTTCTAATATAAATGTATATGGATACCAAAAA